AAAGAGATGTATTTGTGGATCTGGAATGGGGGAGCTATGTAAAATCCATCCCACCCCCACCCAATCAGAAAAATTAAGCATACAGTGGGCTGGCAAAAAAACAAATCACCAGAGAAATAGTCGCCTTTATCGTTCATTTACAAAATATGCTATGTGAAAAAAGAGGTGTAAATAAAGACTGTTTTTTCAAATCAGCATATTTTTTAACACGTTCATTAAAATATCTGCCTAAAATATTCAGTTCTGTTGGTTATGGTTAATTCAGACATGAAAAACTCACTTTGTGTGTGTGTGTGTGTTCAGATAGAGTGAAGGGGAATGACAGAATAAAATAATAAAAATAACAAAACTGCTGTTTAAGAGCAACTAAAACAACAGCACACATTCTTCCCTTCCTTGATGATACCTAGGCAACTTTTTTTGGAGGTGAGCAAACGGGGCTCTCGGTGTGTCTACTGAGGCCTGGTTACTCGCTCAGTAAGTATTTCAATATTTTGGGGGGTAACAATTGAAAACAAATGTATAAATAATAGTAACATAATAATAGAAAAGAAAGAGAAGATATCACTGTTATCATTGTATTGATTACTGTGATAATAATAATAATTACAATGAACAGTAATAACAGTAAATAAATAAATAAACTGTGCAACAGACATCCCCTATCTCATCCTACAAAAATAATATACATAAATAAAATATTATTAGTATCCTTAGTCGCACAGTGTTGGTGATAGTATTGTGTCAATAAAACTTCAGCCCACGTTATTGCAGTTCACTTGAACAGCCGAGTGGCGGCCAGCGGAACCATCAGTGATAGAGGGGGGGAAGACAAAGGCCGCTGCACAAACCCGCAGTTGGGAAAACGTTTGTGACACGAATCGATAGAAAGATGCACATGGACCCATTATACCGGCGGGACTTAAAAACTATAGCTTAATGTGCACCGACTTCAGTGTAACAGGAAATATAATTTAACATTTGTTTGGGTACGTATTATTTATTTATTTATTTTTACTAAGAATAATTTTTAGCCGCGAGTTAAACGGTTGCCCGGCCTTAGGCTAAGCGTTTAGCATGCTACCTTCCAGGCTCAAGCTGTCTGATAGTTCAGTCAGGGCATGCAGACTGGTTAACAGACTGATTTTAACGTATTTTTTTAATTTCCCAAATAAAATCACTATATCCTTACAGCATTAACAGGGTAATGGTAACTAAGCATTTTATTACAGAAGTGTGTTTTAAGTGAGGTTTCTTTTTTTTTTGCTTGCTTATGTTAGTGTTAAATAGCTATCAAAGCTAGTTTTGCTGGGAAACTAATTGGTTCCTGCTTTGTGTCGTGTACTATTATTGATCTAAATACCTTTGGAGAAAAATGCGGAGAAAACATGTGGGCAATATGGTTAAAGCCTTTCCAATTAAAGTGTATACTTTATATACTGTACCCTGTGAATGTTCTAGAAAGATGAATGAGACGCTCATAATAAATGAATTTAACTAATTTGGAAACTAATAGATTGACTTTAGGGGTAAACACAAGCATGCTGCAGTCATGCCGGGACCATCCTAGAAAAGTAGAGTCCTTTATTGTAGTTAGAACCTTGTGAGGGTTCTTTTATAAATTTCAGAGAAGATCAATCTCTATACACTGTTGTTTTGGTCAATTAAATGTGACTTGTATATTTAAAAATGTATCCAAACCATCTGTAAGAACTTACAGGAAATAAGGGCAGCTTTCTTATCTGTTTGAAAGATAAGTTCTGAATCAATTTAAATTCCGCTCAGTGATCATCACCTGTGCTCAAGAGTCTATTGTTCTGCCTTCAGGCTGGCTGTAGATTGACAAAGATTAAGCATAAACATTACGCCAGTGAAAAGATTAAAGAGTCATCTTTGAGCATTTGCAAGATTTTTCTTTTTTGGGGGTGTTTTAATGTATTTATTGTGTACATTTATTCCTTTAGTAGGGATGCTGCAGTATCGTGCCTGAACATCGTTATCTGCTAATATCATCCTTGTTGACTGCCGTCTTCCTACTGGTAAATACAGATGGCAATAGTTGATGTTTTTCTTTTGTCAAATCATTTCGTTTCAGCTAAATGTTTAAATATGGTTGAAATAATGTTATGCATTACCATCACTGTTTCAAGCCTATGAGATATAAAGTGATCTTTTTTTTTTCTTTTTTTTGCAACACAACCAAATTTCTTAAAAGGAACAAAACCACTTTCAAAGCAACTTGTACCTTGATAACTTCATAACATACCTGTTTTCTTTTTCTTCCTTAGTGTGCTCGGAGGTGAGAGAGTTTGTGGTGACATGGTTATATATTGTGGATGGCACCGGACAGCCATGGACCCGAATAGCAGCTGTTTGCCAATAACTGGTGAAGACACTGGTTTGGAGGCTTTGGCCTCACCACTGGCGGGGTATTTGGGAAAAGTCAGTAGAGCTCTTGTTCTCCTCTCATTGTCACTTGCGCAAAGCTGAATTGTATTTGAAACTGGACTGTGACTGGACAGTACCAAAGCAAATTCAAAAAACAAACAAAAACGGAAATCTTTGGTTGTAAAAGGCGAAAGTTGGTACGTTACTTGTCTTGACAGGCTTGCAATTGTCAAATCTGTCATACTGTAACATGGGAAACTGTGTACTACTTATGATTTTATTACAAATATGCATCTGCTTTCAAGTACTTGACTCCCCTGTCCTGCCTCACTTGAACTGCTCCTCACTACAAGCATTTAAAACATAAATCTTGATCGGTCTTGTAAGGTAAATCAAGTAAAGTATTTCAAGTTTCGATTCATGTGTACATAATGTGTAAATATATAAAAGTAAGGCTGCTGACAGATAAAAGAAATGGTTGATTAAAAAAAAAAGTAATCAGTTGAAAATATATGCAGTCTAAAATCTAAAATGTTAATGAATCTCATCAGTTAGATCTTTTTCTAGATTTGTGTTTTCTTTTAAGCTGTTGTCTTCAGTTCACCTGTGAACTTGGTAAACTTGGTAGACGTCTGGGGCTTTAACATACACCATGTTGTTCCCCAGGTGCAGGGAAGAGCTGCTTCACTGGACTATTGCCCTTGGTGTACATCGAAGGGGCTGAGCTATGCTCTACGCTCGTACCGAATCAGCCTCCAGGATTCGATCACTGTCTGCACAAACCCACAGGTAAGTCCAACCACTCAAGTCACAGTTTCATATATTTTTTTTGCCGTCATCTTCGGTAACCTCTTTGTATCCATTCTCTCACAGTGCCTCTTCCCACTGGTCAGCCGCTCCTTGGAGGATGTTTTGGCTAGCTTGGATGCCGTGGAGCCAGTTGTTGGGAACAAAAGAAAAAATGCCTCCACACAGGAAAAGGAAGAGTTGATTAAACCTTCATTCAAACATCTTCGATCAAGTGAACTTGGCGGTCTCGAGCCACAAGGTGTAACTGCCACACCTGTTAGCTCAGCAGAGGATGGTGCTGTAAATGCTGTCAGAAATGACCAATATGCAGAACCCACGACAGATGAGGAAAAGCTGAATGGATACCACAGGGATTATCGAGTTGCAGAAGTGACAAATAGGGAATCTGTGAAAGAAAATGATCCAGACTGTGCTGCTTATGCAGAAGGTCTTGCCCCCTCTATACTCTCAGCTGAAAGCTCCCTGCAACTTTCTTTGACTACTGATGAAAATGAGGCTGTGCTCAGTTCACATTGCAGTGCCCATGGTATATCAGGGATTGAGTTAAACCACGAGAGGAGTCTTCCTGGAATCCAAAACGGCTTTGAACAGGACATTCATTTAAATGAAATCGATATTTCACAGAGTCCTCAAAGTGAGCTGACAATGTGTACAGAAATATCACGGACTGAAATCTGTAAGAATACAGAGAATACATTAAAGGAGTCAGAAGATCTTGTACCTATTCCAGATCAGCTTCTCTGGAGGAACAGTGACAACCTGTGTTGGCTGGACTCGCTGCTTGCTGCTCTGTTCAACTGTAAGAGTTTGCAAAGGTGTAAACCTAAAGACGAACCTCAGCAGTCATCTCTGTGGCAGCTCCTAAAAGGATATGAAGACATATGTGCGGCCATTCAAGTCCACCAACAGACTGGCAGTGGTAAGTTGAAGTGAATTTCAATCTATGCACGAGTGTAATGTCTAACTTTTATTCGTTAATGTCTGTTTTAGAATAGAATAGAATAATCCTTTAATTGTCCCACAAGGGGAAATTTGGTTGTAACAGCAGCCAAAAAGACACATATATACAAACAAACAGTACGCAGGACACAGAACAGAAACATACACAGATGTTTTCATCTGTTGATTGTTACAGTGAACAGCAGGCTAATAAGATGCATTAGTAGTTATAGCTGTTGTCTAAGGAAAACAAAGTTCTTAACAGAAAGTGGCTGTGACTTTAGCCCCATAGACCTCCATGAATAGACTTGTGGAAACCCAGCATTTGTTGTAAAAAAGAATCAAAGTGTTGTGGGTTGTTTTTGTTGTTGTTTTTTGTTTTGTTTGTTTGTTTTTGGGGGGTTTTTGGACTTTGGGTTTATGAACATAAATTAGCATCTTGTTGAATTGTTTTAGTCCCGTGTCTTCAAACCACAGAGGTTGGTGGAAATTACTGTATTCAGTTATGGAAGGGGTTAATAACTACTTAATGAACACATTAATAGAAGTAAAAGATCAATAAATCTAATCATCGCTTTTACCAATAAACTCACTGGACACCTTATTAACTACCTCGCTAGCATAAATTCCCCACACCATTGCCCCATCATCAGTCTGAACTGTTGACACACCACAGATTGTAGATCTGTGCTGCCATGTTTTTTACACCAAATTCTGACCCTTCAGTCTGAATTTTACTGAAGATATTAAAACTCATCAGTTTATCCAATCATCTGTTACTCAATTTTGTTAAGCTCGTGTGAATTGTAGGACCCGTTTGTTTTGCTGAGCTGACAGGAGCATGAGCCAGTGAAGTCTTAGGCATCAAGGTTCAAACTGCTCTTCATTCAGAGTTGTTTTTCTTCATACCTTGTTTCTGCTGTTATTTGGGTTACTGTTGCCTCCCTGTCAGCTCGAAGCAGTCTGGCAATTCTCCTCTGACCTCTGGCATCAACAAGACATTTTCTCCCAGACAACTGCTGCTCGCTGGATATTTTCTCTTTTTCAGGCCTTTCTCTGAAACCTTAGAAAGTAAATGAGCAGGTTTTGAAAAACAGACCAACCTGTCTGACGCTGACAGTCATGCCAGTTGAATGTCACTTAAGTCTGCTTTCTTCCTCATTCTGATGCTTACTTTGAACTTCAGCAGATGCTCAGTTCGTACCAGCATCTGCACCACCTGATATCATGGTCTTAAATGCAGTGACTTTTTGCCATGTGATTGGCTGATTGGATATGTCCTTTAACGAGCAGTTAATTGTCCAGTGAGTGTATATGTTATGCAGATTTTTTTTTTCTGCTTAAATATAAATGGAAATACAATTTGACAAAAAAAAATTGAAGTGGGTCATCTGTAGCAGTGGTGTCCTTATGAATATACTGTGAGAGTAATAAAGAGAGTGCAGCTCAGACTTGAGTTATTGCAGGGTATGTTTTTCTTTGCAAAACTAATGCACGGAGTGGTTAAAATAAATAAGATTCTTTTAAAAACACAAAACAAATGCATTGTTAAAGTCTGTCTGGATTTTCACTTTTTTATACCTATCACCACTTTTTGCTTTTTTTGCCTTGCTTTGTGTTTTATAGTCTGCCTCCAGTGTTTGCACTGCACTTTGTGGAGGGGCTCCCTAACAACGATGTCAGTACGTACACCTTCAACTTCAAGGGCAGAAACTACTCCGTCACCACTGTCATACAGTACAAGAGTCACCTGAAGCACTTTGTCACCTGGACTTGCAGCGCTGATGGTACGTATTTGTGTGTGAAATGTGAACAGACGACAGAATTATTTAATGTTGTGCAAATGAGAGAGTATCGAATGTTGAAACTGAGAAATATTTATTTATTTAAAAATATGCCAATTTCAAATGAATCAGAAGCATTTCAAAAGCGGTAGGACGGGGCATGTTTACCACTTGTTGCATCAGCTCTCCTTTTAACGACAGCACGTTGCTGTAGATCAAAAATAAAGTTGTTTTTCCATTCTCGCTTGATTTTAGATGTTCAGTAGATGCTGTGTACAGACTTGTAGTCTTCTAAGAGTGCTCAACATCATCTCTCTTTGTGTCTGAAACAGTTTCTGTGGGATAAATGGTTTCTTTATTGTTACGCAACCTTTTCAGCCTTTTGTTGCCCCTGTCCCAGCCCTTTGATGCATTTATTTTTATTTTATAAAATCATAAATAAGCATTTCAAAACTAAAGCAATTCTCACTTTAAACATTTGATGTGTCATCTTTGTAATGCATTTTTCCTTATACAAGTTGAATTTGATTAAGTAGATATTTTGAAGTTAGTGCAGTATTTTTACACGAATAAATGAGGTCAAATTAGGTTTTTTGGTTTTTATTAAACTGGAAGTTACATTTAAGTGCATTTCTTTGTGGTTGAAACACTTAATGGTTGAGTCTGATTTGACTCTGCCGTAGTTTGCCAACAGCACATTCTGCTGGACAGTTCATGCAAGAGAAGAACCCTATTTGCTGTCTATTTCACTGTCATTTAATAATTAGATTTATTGAATAATTTTATTTTATTTTGTATCTAGCTTACCGATTTTGCAAATGTAACGTTATTGTGATGTGTAGCTATTTCTTTCACAAGTTAGATAATTAACTAGTCTGCAGTATGCTTTGAATAGATTAGACATATGGCAGACTGTGTTGTGCAGAGTTGCTCTTGGAAGAGACCGTAATTCTGCATTATTTATTTTGTTTTATGTTATTCAGTTTTTCTTATTCATTGGTCACGTAAAACAAACCCTTGACATAGACAACCAAGTTGAACCTGCAGCATTTTGCTGTAACCATTTGTTGTGCTTTTTTTTTTTTTTTTTTAAATTTTAATGCTCGTGGCTTTAATATGATGATTTAAAATACCCTGACTGTAAGACCCACCAAAAGCTTCAGGTCCCTGCTAATGAGATGCATATCGTCTTCTGGGAGGTGGAAGACGACAAAGAGCTTCACATCTGTTCTTCCTCCTCCACATCTGCACTCTCTGACAATGAGAGAAACAACAGTTTAAATGAAGGTTCGGTAGCGGATGGGGTGTTGGTTCACAGTCCAGATCAGTCTCTTCTTATTCCTCATAACGACACCGACATCATCTGCGCTCTCACTGAAGACACCAGCAGCATCATGGACACAACAGTCATGGCAGGCTTTGATACTTCCATAGGTGCCACCACTTTGCTTGACACCTTTGAGGGCCTAACCCACAGTGAAATCATTACGCTCACACTGGTTGAAGTAAAACCCGATGTAGAAATGCAGTCTTTAAACAACAACCACAAAACTCTAGATCTGACCACCGCTGGTAAGAATGACATTCTTGACAGCTCTTCTGCTGCCAAAGGTAATAAACTGCATCACTGTCCCAGTGTTGACCTTCCCTCCACCTCAAGTGATCCCGACTCAGGGGACGGCTCGTCCAGCGATCCGACATTTGTGCCCAGTGCCAGGAGAGGACGAGGGAAAGGAATCAGCAGGGGGAAAACCGTCAGCAGAGCAAAAGGTAAAAAGGTAGCTTCATCAAAAGTAGCTTTGCATACTTCATCATCGACATCTTCAGAGCCCTGTGGAGTAAACCGTGAACAGCCTGTGGTCCCTGATACTGAGGATAAGAGTCCATCTACTGAAATTACACAACAGGGTTCCCTCATGTCTTCTACTGATAACCCACCCCTCTCTGCCAATGAGAGCGATCCCACATCAGCATCACTACTAGATCAGAATTCTCGCTGGTCCTTCCTGCTTAGCAAACATCCACTAAACCAAGTTCAGAAGTCCACTGCTAAGTTTGCCCCTGCATCAGACACACAATTAAAGCCCCCTCCTCCTCCTCCTCCTTTTCACTCTACCCCCAACTCTGTGAAGAGACCGCATCTTCCAATGGCGCTCTACCCAAAACCACAACTCCGGACAGAGGACAGCGAAGATCTGCCAGTGAAAGCTGCAGACATGTACGGGGCATTTCGTGCTAAGAGCTTAAACAACCAGAGACCCCTCCTATCACCTACTGTGCAGTCACAACCAGTCACTTCTAACCACCTAACCACCCCTACAGTGATGTCTAGTACGTCCCTGGTTACACCTGGAGCAAAGGCACTCCTTAAAGCCTCTCTAAAGAGACATGGCAGCCATTCCTCAGAGGTTCCTGTAGGCCTCGGCAGCACAGAAGCCCTCAGATACAAACTGCTTAAGCAACTCAAATCAAGGAAGAAGCAGCTTGCTAGAATCAATAAGATGTTGGATAAACATGAGGGACTACAGCTCCGACCGGACAGCACTGACTTGGACTCTCCCAGCACTGTCACCTCAAGCACCTACGATGGAGCCACCAGTGACGACTTCCTGTCGGACTTGCTTTCGCCGGCAACAACAGCCAGCAACCTTTCGCCAGACAGCACGGGCTTCTTCGAGATGTTCGCCAATGGGCCTGACGGAGCAGAGCGTGTGGTCGAAGCTGCTGGGAGACCATCAGAGCTGAATGGCGGAATGAACGGGCAACACGACGAAAACTTCCTTGACGAGTTCCTCTCTCAGGCTGCGAGTCATACCCCGACCGACATTGTCGAAGTATTTTTTAGTTCAGATTAAAGAAGGGAGAACTCCTCAATGTGTATTTATGTTTCTGTTAATGAAGGTTTGTAGGTGTGTCATGTTAAATAACAGATGAAATTTGGGGGGGGGTTGTTGCTTTTTTGCATTTTTGGCACTTTGAACTAAGGAACTGGCCATTTGAAGCCAATTAAATTTTGTTTCTGTTTGTGTTGATGTATTACTTAGTTATAACTGTCTTTTAGTGTAAATAATAAATTCTTTATATGATTCTTGTACTTGTCAAAATGTCAGTTATTATGAAAAGGAAGGGGCAGGACATAACCATAACCTCCAACTAGCTTCCTGTTTGAGAAATAAAATATTTATGTTCAGATTTTTCAACTTTAGTTACTTAAAACTTTAGTATTAAATGTAAAATGGGCTGGTTTCAGGTCATTCAAGTACCCAGTTATTGGTTGAGTACCATACTGCACACTTGTTGTTTTTAACAATAAACAATTTAATGATATACCATATTCGCAAGAGAATCTTAGGAAATGCTGGTTGGTAGCGGGTAAATTTACTACCAACCACAAATAATTTGCATTTGTTGGCTGCAGCTTTGTTTCAGAACTGTTTATTGGGTGCATGTTTTCCACAGCCAGCTTATAAGCTTTAAATAAGATACAGCATTAGCATTGGCAACCCTTTGGTTGTGTCATTTATTGGTGAGGAAATTTAAAATTAAGCACTTATTAAAGGAAAGCTGTCTGCGTGTGTGGTCCTGTCGTTTTGTAGGGTGAAGTTTTTATATAAAGCACCCTGCGTCTGCTTACGTGACGATATGTAAAAAAAAAAAAAAAAAAAAAATAAACTCGAGGAAAAAGGGCGTTCCCATACCGGGAGTCGAACCCGGGCCGCCTGGGTGAAAACCAGGAATCCTAACCGCTAGACCATATGGGATTTGCGGCAAGTATCATCATCATATGTATATGACAAATGGATAGCAAACGAATCAGGAGATGATAGGATGATAATGATACTTTTGTTCCTGGCGACATGACGTTCCTAAAATAACTTTAACGTTAGCGATTCGTTCCCCGAAAGCTGACACCGAACAGCATGTTTTAAGCTAGCTCCTTAGTCCAGCTCATCTTCACTGGTGTTTGTAAACCAAAGGCATTATAAACATGTTCGGTGTTACACTGTAGGTGTTAGGAAGAGGTGTGCAAAGATATTTTTAAATTAAGAACGACATTAGTCTCTGGATATCTTCGGGTTTGGGGTTTTGTAGGGCGGAGGACGTCTTTATTTGGATTTAGTCGATACGAGAATGCATCAAAGTCATTCAATATAAAGTTTTGAAAAGAGATTTAAAAAAATCAGCGAGGACGTTGCATTTCCTTTGAAAGGCGCACGCAGGTGCTATTTGACTGTAAGTGGGTCAAATCAGAATAAGAATAAGCCAGCTCTATTTTTACTCTACTTTTACTCTTGTAGGATAAAAAATGATTACATTGTTTCTGGGGGGTACCTTCTTTTTAAATGCATGTTGTGTTATACAGTATGCTGTAATTGACGTTTTTCTAGGAAACTAGAAAATAGGTCGGCAATTAATTGAAACATCTGCAAACATACTCGGAATTACTATATATAAGGCAAAAAAAAGAGTTTGTACAATTCCAACAAACTTTATTCTTCAACACATCCTGAACTCTTTTCGACAAACTTTCGTAAAGTAGCCTTCAGGAATAACTCAGAAGTCTTCCCGAAGGACATTCAAAGCTCTTGTGTGTTGTTATTGCCATGTCTTGACAGCCTCCCTTCCACTGAAACCATTTCTGATGAAACTTCATTGAAGACAATGGGTCGTGAATGGATCATGAAGGGCTAAATGCATCTCTCGGTGCTGTGTCAGGTGGATTTTTCTTCTTTTTTTGACAGTTTCACATACTGTTCACCCAGAAACGGCCCTAACCAATCTGGCGCCCTAGGCAAGATTTTAGGTGGCGCCCCCCTACATCAGCAGTGTAGTGTAATGTTGTAACAAATAATATTTCTATTAAATAAGCTTTACTTTGCATTTTAATTAACGTGGGATTATTTTTTGTATTTAGAAATAATAGTACCAACTTTTTTTTTTTCAACATTTGTGGCACTGGCGTGGCGCCCCCTGATGGACGGCGCCCTTAGCATTTGCCTATACGGCCTATGCCACGGGCCGGCCCTGTGTTCACCTGTTGTAAATTTGTCCTCTACTTGCACACTGTGCTGTAAAATGCTAAGTTTTCAGCTAACAGCTCCTTGGTCACCTTCTTGGTACAAAAATAAAATGTTATGTATGCCAAACTGTGTCATCTTTGACATGTTTCATACATTTAACTAAAGAAACTGGAACAAATGACAAAGTACCAAAATATACTATTTTAAAATAATACAAATAACAACAAATGTATATAGAAAATAGAAAGTCTGTCTCTTTTGAGGCAAAATATAAAGACACGAGGGTTAAATCAAACCTTTTGCACTGTGTTGTATATGTTGACACATTCTCCATGCATGGTCTTGATTATTTATTGCCAGAAATACTTTAAGTGTCTGTTCATAACACTACTCATGTATGTAATTACTGGGAGTAATGAGAGGTGACACATAGCGTAATAGTGATGCAAATAATTTTGCAAAACATCAAGCCAGGCCTTTACATGCAATCCGGTCTTACACAAGCACACAGAGGAAGTAGCAGCAACGTTGTTTGCAGCCCTCTGTATTAAACCAGAGCATCATTTACATAAAGGGGAAGCCACAAACAAGTGTGTATGTGGGATGGGACAACATGATGTCATGAAGGGAGAGATCAGGTTTATGATTTGCTACTGACTTTAAATACGCCTGTTTGGATGTGAAAGACAATCTTTGTCTCTTTCAGCCCAGCAAACACCTGCTCCTAAAGCTCACAGGATAATCATGGACTCCAACAAAGTGGTGGAAAACATCTACCTCCTGGTCATCGTCACTCTTGTCAGCGTGCTTCAGAATGGTGAGAAACTCTAACCCAGTGACTGGAAATGTACCGCTCACATCACAAATGCTTAATCTTGACTCTCTGTTTTTAAGCTTTTTTCGCACAGAAGGTGGAGAGGGAATGCAAGAACCATAATACCCGCACATCAGCTTTTGAGCGAGTGTCTTGTGCCAAGTGAGTGCTCTTTCTTCAACAATTAGTTCTCTATTGCAACATCAATACCAGCGAACTGAAACAATATCACATTTGTTTCCTAATAGGCTTTCCATTCGGCCTCATAATCCACCAAATGTTAACTCTATCCAGAGGCAGTCCTCATTTGCTTGAACCCTCCCCGGTTGGGGAAAGAGCTGGCTGGCGCTGACCTTATTTGAATACTTGATGGTGAAATAACAATGATGTGTTGAACTCCAGGCCTCGAGGGCCGATGCCCTGCAGGTTTTAGATGTTTCCTTGATCCAACACAGCTGATTTAAATGGATAAATTACCTCCTCAACATGTCCTGAAGTTCTTCAGAGGCCTGGTAATGAACTAATCATTTGATTCAGGTGTGTTGACCCAGGGTGAGATCTAAAACCTGCAGGACCTCGAGGCCTGGAGTTCGACACCCCTGATTTAAGGCCAACCTCTCATATATCTGTTCCATCTATACAGTTGCAATGACATGTCAAGAAGTTTGTTTGATTGATCTTCAACATGCTAATTCATTCCTTTACAAAGAAGCAGAAAAATAGTAAAGCAAATTGTTGTTTTTAATAAACTATGCTTCAACCTTTGTGAAGTACTTGGTAATTTGGAAACTATCATTTCAAAGTGTCTTCCACAACAATTACAACAAAAACCTCACAAAATGCTAGATTTTGGGACTCAGGCGTTCCAGTTCTTCTGCCTTTAACTAATCTGCCATTGCTTCATAGTTTCTTCACACTTGCCTTGAAATGTGCTAATAACAGCTTTTGTTTAAACTTCTTCTCTAGTCGCAACTGCATGGATGCTTACCCCACTTTCTTGGCAGTAATGTGGTGTGCTGGTCTGTGTCTCAGTCAAGGTAATCATTCATGAATGTAAAGGAGGCTGTAAACAGTGCACACCCACACAGGAAACAAAAGCAAACATTCAGAAAAGTGTTTGTTCTCTCCTTGTACAATACAACACAACACAATCCAATATGCCTGAAACGCTGCTGTTTTTCAAAGGTAGAAAGTCAGATGTGCACATGACTTTACTGACATTAACCTTCTGTGGATCATGCTGCTACAATTTAAGGATAAGCTTTAGGCCAAACCGATAAAATAAAATAAAGCACAAGCACAAGTGCTGACATAAAATGCAGTTCCTCTAGTGGCTACTTGAGGCTGGATCCAACAGCAAGTTAGTCTCCATATATTCCCATGTCAGCAGACTGGGAGCTTAAAATACCAACCTGTGGTTCAAGCCAGAGTTGTGGTCCAGAGTTTACATCAACTCATCATGGGAATGAATGTCATGCTAATTTGGAGCTTTTAATGATTTCTTTCAACTGTTCTTTTTTCTGTGTGTAGTGATTTGTTTGAATTTATTTTGGATTCTTTGTAATCCACACATGGTCAAAAGTTTAGATACAAGCTCCAATATATACCCCACTAAAATTTAGCTAAATGTCCCTTAGTAATTTGGACCTCAACCAGATGCTTTTGGTAGCCATCAAGAACCTTCTGGAATAACTCTGGTTGGATATTTGACAAGTCTTGTTGGAAGGATTGGTAGATTGCATTTAAATTGGCTGATTTCCTGGCACCATCCTGGCTTAGGGTATAGGGTTGAGGTCAGGGCTGTTAGCCTGTTCAATGTTAGCCATTTAGCAAACACACATCGAAATCGGTTTCGATGTGTGTTTGTTATCGTTGTCCTGTTCAAACACCTAACAGTTTTTCAACAACTGTGTTTCAACAAGTTTTAACCGTCTTGCTGCTGATTTAAGATGACAGTCAAGAATTTGGATGTAATCCTTCTTTTTCATTATTCCATCCACTTTGTGAAATATACCAGTACTGCTGGAGGCAAAACACCCTCAGAGCGTGATGCTACCACCACCATGTTGGACCTTTTGCCATTGCGAGCAAATAGCTTATTTTATATCTCGTCTGACCACGAAACTTTTCTCTTTACTTGTTGGCCTGTTTCTCTGTATTGCCTGACCTTACCTAAAATACCTTATCATTAGTGCTGTCAGCATTAATCTCGTTAAAATGACGTTAACGCCATAACCGCATTAACACGGGAAATCTCCGTTAGCAAGTTACTGCGGATCGCCCTGTGCAAGCGCTGCACAACGTCAACGCGTTAGCGCAATCGTTAACGCGTTAGCGCCATGCAGCCCCTCGCACGGGGCGATCCGCAACCTTCAATAGTATAGGATTGGATAACTGGATTTTTCCTCAAAAACAGTGCGTGCAGTGTGAGTTGGTCAGGGTGTTTTGTACTTATGAGCTCTCTCCAGTAAAATGCAAAATGGGCCTACGCTCTGTTTGGGTGCAGATGTCACAAGAATGAAGCACACTATTAGCTGAAATATTACTGTTTGTGCCACAGAGTCGAGATTGACTAAGTGGAAAAAGACCTAAACCATATAAGACCCACAGCGTATTATGAAACCAGATACAGAATCTTTTTCTGTCCTCTGTTTGAAGCTCCCGCTGCTTTCGCTGGGATCATATATCTCGTCGTCAGGCAGAAGTACTTTGTTGGATACTTGGGACAAACCTCTCAAAGGTAAATTCCTACAGACCCAGTAGCATGTATTCTATGTGTTTAGAAGCAGTATTGCATTAATTTTTTACATCTGTACAGCACCCCAGGTTACCTGTTTGGAAAACGGGTCATCACCTTCCTTTCCCTGATGTGTGTCATTGGCATTGCCAACTACCTGCTGGTGCGCTTCTACGGCAGCGACTATAAAGAATATGTGGAAACCATCACTAACGCTGCAACTGCTCTTCTGCTTATCCCTTAAATGAGTTTGTGTCATGTAACCTTTCCACATGAATAATTTAGCTCCTGGATCTCTGTTGCATTAAAAAACACTGTTTAATAGATTCATTGCATTGTTTTGGAAAAATAATAAAATAATTCTCACAAACAAATATTGATTTGACATTACAAAATCTGTAAACATTTTATTGTGCAGCAGCACAAATTTGATCACTATAAAACCCCTCAAACAGTACAACAATTAAAAATCATGTAAAAACAAATATTTGCACACACAAAACGACCTTTATGACATTCAGAAAGTCTTTTTCAGTCCTTGTCAGTAGTTTCCACCCACTGAACAGACAGAAATTCTGGACTCAGATCCTAAAATCTCCAGAGGAAAGCCGTCGGTCTGGCAGGATGATATTTCAACCATTCATCTATTTTACTGAAGATGCAAAAACAAGCTCCGGTTAAAGTGAACAGTTAAACTCAAGTTTGCATCGTTCTTCATCCTCAGCTGGCTCATGTCATTCTCAACTGTAATAAGAACAGATGCAAGAAAAGCAAAGTTAGACAAAAACCTAAAGAGACTCAAAAACAGCTCTCCATTTCTTCAGTCAGGTCAATCTGAAATGAAGGGAAAGGTAACATATAGTGATTCTGAATAAAAGAGGCTCGTGCAACAGAAGCACCACGAAGTCCTGCTCACATCCACTCTGTAGCTTTCTCCAGCAACAGAAGAGATGGTCCCATCCATGCCTCTCTCCAGCTGCCACTTGGTGAACGGCTCGTTGCCGTCGATGCACACCACATACTGCTTCTCCACTGAAATGCAGTTGGGAAAGTTCATGAGGAAAGAGTAAAAAAGGTCAGAAAAGGAGAGAGTTTGCGCAGAAACATGGTGTAAGAAGCAAGCTTTCACTGTAATGTGAACTCCACCCAAATCTGGAGGCCTGCATGAGTCAGCTGTGCCAGCGAGCAGCCCACAGCTGTAACATACAGAGTTGTTTTCACCACTGTCAGCTCTTTGTACTGTGTGTAATTACTGTTAGATGACAGCTTGTGTGTAGGGAAACACTTACAGCTCAGTTCTCTGGCTGCCTTTTTGTTGCTCACTGAGGATTGTTCTTCGCAGGCTGAAATCAGCAGATAGATCTCCTTGGACAGCAGACTCTTCCTCGTGCTGCTGTATTCCCACAAGTTGTGCATTTTCACTTTTCTGTGGCCAAAAGCAAAACAGAAAGAGTTTCATATTCATTGCTTGTGCATATGAACGCATAAATAAATGAATATACATTTGGGTGTGCATTTCTGTCTTTTCTCACCTTCCCAGCGAGTTGTGGAAAACGAACTTCTTCCCGCAGGACTGGAAGTCGTCGATGAGCACCAGGCTCTTCTCCTCGTTGCAGCGGACTCGGTAACCCGATCCGAGAGTCTCCACAGAGAAACCTGGCGGTGGATTTCTCACAAACTCCTCCACTTCTGTCACTCTCATCCTGCTGCCCGACTGCTTGTTTACCGGCATGCTGTCACGTTTTCTTCTCTCACCTCCTGCCGACGTTTATGTGGTCTAGTTGATGGACTTCTGAGCCTTTAGTAACGCCCACCGACCACCAAGTCTAAAGAGATGAACTGATATGATTTCCGCTCCCTTTGAGCCAAAATAAAAGCCTTTAGTTACCGCGCTGTGGAGGTGATCCATAGCTGCTTGATCAGGTGATTCAACCTTTTAACTCATCCTGTTCAAAGACGCCAGCGGCCGATTCCAGCTTCTCAGAAGGAAAGATTGAAGAAGAGGGAAGATTTTGCATAATTGCAGCTGAAATGTATCATAAAAACGCAGTGTCTGTACACGATTAATTAAATATGATTATACGTCTATCTGTGAACGTTTAGAGGGAATAACGTGGTTTGAACTGTTGGCGAAATAAAACACGGTGAAGACGTCGCGCTTGAAATTAATTTGATCCGTTTTTATTAGAATTGTTTTCTAATTGTGTTTTGTAAAATAGGTCAAGCAATTAATCATAGCCCATAGGCAAGGGGTGTTAAACATAGAGCACCGGGGCTAGAATTGAATCTGGCCCACTGAAGCTTTGGAAAATGTATTTCTGGGTTTTCACTATCTAAAGTGAAAATGCGTGTGTGTGGGTGCGTGTGATGTTTTCATAGTGGGCCCACAGTAACAAACAAAAAAAAAAACTCATATTTTTTTTATTTTTTATTACAGGACATTCTGATCAGTGTGCAATCTCTCCTGTATTTTACAGACCTATTACTTATACTTTATGAGAGTCATGTGGACAAATTTATTACATTTACTACAGCAGCGAAAAAGTGAAACTTGGTGTGTTGAAGTTGTACTTTTTAAATTATTAAAAGATATCTGGGGAATTCAGTGTGTAGTTAAACTTCGGTACACTGTCAGAAACGGGAGTTTCACTGTGGTCTGGCCGTCATATATAGGTTAACTGAGAAAATATGAGTCCATGTGCTGTTATTTTGAATTCACTTTTGTTTACTTTCCATTTAGTAGAGTAGAGCATGATGGATCAGCTTTTATCAAATGACCTACATACATATGCAGGAGTACGCTTGCACAAACAGAGACTCGGTGACAACGCAGAGCATTTTAAAACATTGGTGGTTAATGAATAACCTGCAACCTGTGTTTCTGCTTCATTCCATCACCCTGCCCCACTTATGGGAATTTCTTATCACGTTGCAGGCCCTGTGCTCAAGCTTTGTTTGC